ACTTCAACGCAAAGTCCATTGCGTGGGGTTCCCCCAGGACGGACGCCAGGGGCGAGGCCGTAGAGGAGTGGGCGGCCTCGGTGGGCCTCTGTCTTCTAAACAGAGGCTCCACCAACACGTGCGTGCGACAGCAGGGGGGGTCGATAGTGGACCTCTCGTTCGCTACCCCTGCCCTCGCCGCACGAGTAAGGAACTGGCGTGTCCTGGAAGAGGTTGAGACGCTCTCGGATCACCTGTATATCCGATTTGAGCTCTCCCGGACCCAGGACTCCAGTAGGGGTCACGTGGCGCGGCGTTTATCCCGCTTTCCGCGGTGGGCTGTTGCCAGGCTGAACCGGGACCTACTAGAGGAGGCAGCCATAATTCACTCGTGGCTGTCTCCTCAGGCTCCGACCGAGGAGGTCGACGTGGGGGCTGGCCGCTTTCGCGATGCGATTACGCATGTATGCGATGCGGCCATGCCCCGCGTTCGAGGTCGTCGGCCTCCAAGGAAGGAGGTCTACTGGTGGTCCCAGGAGCTGGCGGACCTCCGTGCGGCCTGTACACGTGCCCGGAGGTCCTACACGCGCAGTCGGCGGCGTCACCGTGGAGACGGTGAGGAGGACCGGCTTCATGAGGAGTACCGACGGGCGCGGAAAACTCTGAAGCTGGCCATTAGCCGCGCCAAAGAGGAAAAAAGACAGGAGATGCTGGAGGGTCTTAATCGTGACCCCTGGGGTCGCCCTTACCGCGCGGTGCGACAAAAGCTCCGCGCGTCGGGCCCCCCCCTTACGGAGACTCTCCAGCCCAGCTTCCTGCGAGAAGTGGTTGAGGGCCTTTTCCCACAACGGGCGGAACACACTCCCCCGTCGATGGCCTCCCTGGCCGGAGACGACGGGGAGCACGGGGAGGACAATGTTCCGCCCGTCCGGGAATCGGAGGTAGGGGCGGCTGTTCTACGGATCCGTTCCAAGAACACCGCCCCTGGGCCAGACGGGGTACCGGCCCGAGTGCTGGCCCTGGCCCTCAACCACATGGCAGACCGCCTCGGGGAGGTGTTCGACGCTAGCTTGGCGTCGGGACGCTTCCCTGAGTGCTGGAAGAGCGGGAAGCTGGTCCTATTGACGAAGCCGGGACGGCCTGCCGATTCGGTCGCGGCCTATAGGCCCATCGTGCTGCTGGACGAGGCGGGCAAATTGTTTGAGAGGGTTCTTTCTGCCCGCATCGTCCGGCACCTCTGCGAGGTGGGCCCCGATCTGTCGGACGCCCAATTTGGTTTTCGGGCGGGGCGTTCGACAGTCGACGCCGTGTTGCGCCTGAGGGCCGTGACCGAAGAGGCCGTGAGCTGTGGCGGCGTGCTGTTGGCGGTGTCATTAGACATCGCCAACGCATTCAATAGTCCTGCCATTCAGCTGCATCAGGGAAGCACTCCACTATCATTGGTGCCAAAGTACCTGAGGCGGCTGGTGGCAGACTATTTAGAGGAGCGTACCGTCGTGTACGAGGACCGAGAAGGTAATCTGAGGTGTCGGCCCATGTCGTGCGGTGTTCCACAGGGGTCTGTTCTTGGACCCCTCTTGTGGAACATAGGGTACGACTGGGCCCTTCGCGCCGATTTCCCCCCCGGGCTGGGTGTAATCTGTTACGCAGACGATACCCTCGTGACAGCCCGGGGGGCAAACTTCCAAGAGGCGGCGCGCCTGGCCACAGGGGGAGTCTCCCTGGTGGTCGGGCGCATTGAGGCGCTGGGCTTACGGGTGGCCCTAGATAAGACGGAGCCCTGTTATTTCATGGGCCCCGTCGTGGTCCACCCCCTGGCGCCTCAATAGTGGTCAACTCGGTCCTCGTACCGGTTCGGGCCCAGATGAAATATCTGGGCCTGATCCTCGACGGGAGGTGGCTCTTCGACGAGCACTTCCGACAGCTTGCTCCAAAGCTGGTCGGCGCTGCGTCTGCCCTAGGGCGACTTTTGCCCAATATGGGTGGACCCAGCGTCGCGACAAGACGGCTGTACACGGGGGTTGTCCGGTCAATGGCACTGTACGGTGCACCGGTGTGGGCGGCGGCTCTGACCGCCCAGAATAGGGTACGCCTCTGGCGCCCTCAGAGGGTAATGGCGGTCAGAGCCATACGCGGTTACCGCACCGTTTCGACGGAGGTGGCGTGCGCATTGGCCGGAACTCCCCCGTGGGATTTGGAGGCGGAAGTGCTCGCCGAAGTTTATCGGCGAGTGGCTGACTTCCGGGCGGAGAGCGGATTTCGCCCTCCGCCCGAGGATGTGCGCGAGTGGCGCGAAGCCGCTCGCCGAGCCACGATGGCTCGTTGGTCGTTCCGGCTGGAGACTCCACGCGCTGGCTTCGCCGCCGTGGAGGCTTTCCAGCCGGTCATCGCCGAGTGGGCAGGGCTGCAGCACGGGACCCTTTCCTTCCGACTGACGCAGGTGCTTTCCGGGCACGGTTGCTTCGGGAAGGACCTGCACACGGTCGCTAGGAGGGAACTGAGTCCCGCCTGCCACCACTGCGACTGCAGTGAGGACTCGGCCCAGCACACGCTGGCGGTCTGCCCCGCATGGGCGGCGCAGCGCCGGGCCCTCACTGCAGTCATCGGAGTGGATCTCTCGCTACCGGCCGTAGTACGCTCCATGGCCGGTAGCGACAGTTGTTTTACCGCGGTCGCAACCTTCTGCGAGGTAGTAATCTCGCGGAAGGAGGCGGCGGAGAGGGCCCGGGAGGACGACCTCCACTCGGACCCGATCCGCCGCCGGCGAACCGGGCGGCGGAGGCCCGCCTATCACAGCCTCATGCCGCCCTGAGTGTGGCCGCGGGTGGACGGGGTGGGTTTCCCCTCCACCCGCATTAGTTGGCCAGCCGCGAGGGGGCGGCGTCCGCGTGTGCCGGACGTCGCCTAAAGAGAGGAACATCCACATCGAGACGGAGCCCGCACCAGGAGCGGGCTGGCGCTAGGAGGGGTCCGGATGTCTTAACAACAGCTGTTCCCTGATCCCTCCTGTTACAGGCGCAGAGTGGCACACCGTGTGGTTTTAGTCGGTCCGAGTCCGACACACCACCCCGCCGCAAACCCCGGAGGGGTGACGGTCCGAGGGGATTTCCACACGTTAAAAAAAAAAAAAAAAAAAAAAAAAAAAAAGGTAATGTCAAGTTTTACACTTGTATGGAAACTCGGTTGCAAACTGTTGGCAAACCGTAAAACGACGGTTTAGTTGATCCTGTCGAATCATGTTGCACATTGCTTTCGTATGTTACATTCGCTGGTCAACTCGTCATACGGTTCAAAACCGCGGTTCATTGCAATTTCAACGTTTTGGTTTGGAACCGATTCGAACGAATTGTCAAACCGATTCAACTCGGTTTGCCAATATTCCAGACCGCCAACATCTCTAGTTCATTTACTTAAGTTAGATTAAGCGACGATAATGTGTACGCATTTGTGATAAAAATATCAGTCATGAATGTTTTTATTTCTATTTAAATTCAGCCTTATACTCCCACTCAATCTCTGTCTAATACTACTTCTTGGCTAAATTCTTAAGGCAAGTAGAATGAAACTGCAAGGTAAGAAGTGAAAACTAAAAATCTCAAGCTTTTTTATTTGACATAGACAGTATGAAAATTGTGTATGTATAATAATACCAAGAGCTCCAAGTTCACATTCCTCCAGGTATTTATGCTTATTTTTATGTACGAATTATTTAAGTAAATTTCCAAATGCTGTGTGATTCGTCTTGTTTAAAGGGATTATGAGCAGTTTTCAATTCATTCAGATTTTCAATTTACCAGCTTCTCAACTCGGCAAATTCTCAACTAACCAGAAGTAAAATTAAAAATAAAAACAAACTAAATTAAAACTCTATATTTCCAAGCCTCAATAGAATAAAGAATTAAAGGAACTAAAAGAACAAATATAACTAAAGGAAAATGAATTACGTGATATTAATGACGACCGGATGGCAAACATTTGTGTGCATGAACATTTAATGTTTGATTTGGTTTGGGTGTTTCTATATATAACAATCATGTATTTACAAAAAAAGCGTATATGTATTTATATCAGTTGTCTAGTAGCCATACTACAAGCTCTGCTTAGTTTGTGATTAGATGGCGCTTAACATAGCCTTTGAATGTGGTAAAAAAAATGACAAAAAAATCGGTTATTCGCTTTTGTAATTAAAAGAGATTTTTTTATTTAGCAGAAATATTATTCTTTTTATTTTTCTTATTTTTTCTTTTTTTTTCTTTTGTTTTCGTTATTGCAATGATTTTATTTTAATTTTAAATGTCCTGGAACTTCTGCTTCTTTTTAATATTAGAATACATTTAAGCAAAGGTGGTAATTCAATACAATAATTATCATAGCGATACGCATTTTCTGTTTGACTGTACAAAATCTGTTTAGATTAGAATCTACTGAGCTGCTCATGAGGGTTTTAAAGAAGCGAATGTGTGTTAAGTGGATACTAAATATAAACAAAATATTTAAATTAAAAATGTTAAATGTTTTATTTTTTATGAATTCTCTGTCTGTCTAGTCCTTTAAGTGGATTTCTCCATAGTATCAGGTATAATTTTATTCCAGACCGGCTGCGACCCGCGGTATTTGTTGTACATTTAAAAAATATGGTTGTTGAGATTCTCTTTTCAAACTTCCACCTCTCTTTTCACCCCTAAAAGGATGAAAAATTGATCAAAAATGTATAAACATTCTTTATTTCTAATGAAAAAGAAAACATTCTTTAAATCTTGGAAAAAGTAAAATAAAATTGGGTTTTATTCCTAACTTAAGAAATTTTAGATTTTTGTGATTCCCTTCACAAACTTTTACCCGTCTATTTACCCCCTTAAGACTTTAAGGAATGATTTCGAGGATAAGAACTATTCTATATTCTTCCCCACAACTCAAGCTGTCTCCATTTCAAATTTCAACTAAATTACATACACATTTAGCACATTAAATGTGGGTTTAAATATTTTTAATCAAAATTTAATATACTCACCATGAGCAAATCATAAACAGCTCGAATTTTCTGGATTTTCTAACTCGCCGCAGTGCTCTGTGAGTTCAGCTAATAATTTCAGGAGATCCAATTTAGTATCTGCGGCTCCTGCAGGTGTTAGTATTTCATCCCGCCTTTTAAGTACATGATCACAGAATAAATTCAGAAACTGGTTAGAATCCACTTGAGCCTGTAAAGAAAACAAATTAATTAGAATTAAATCACATAGTTGAGTTGTGTAGTTCAATTGGAACATAAAAGTTATTGATACTTATTGAAAACAAGGGTACGAACACTGTGATCCTCTCTAAATATTCAGGGTCACACAGGACAGTCATCAGGGGTGAATGCAAGAACAGCAAATTTTGACCATATCAATAATTCCATAATATGATCGAACTCTTCAGCTATAACATCTTGGCTCTAAAAATATATTAAATGAATGTTATTTTGACTTACGAGTTGTATTACAACTCGTAAGTCAAAATAACTCAAAGTAAGCACAATAAATGATAATAAGTTGTGAAAATCCGCCTATGTATATACTATATGTTAATATATTTAATCATGCACCTACATAAATATTTAAATGATATATAATAATTATGACACTGTCTCTTTAAGACAGTGTCATGATTATTTAAGTGTTTTAAAAGAAAAGGTAATGCCATTACAATTACTTAAATGTCAATGATGCTGTGAGTCACAATTTAAAGGTCCTATATACAATGTAGTCTATTAATTAACTTGTGACTACATTTTGCTAATGAGCCATTCTGTTTGTTTGTTAAGAGCTTTGTGTCTGTGCTATAAAATTGTTATTTATGTTTTATCTATTTATTATAATATTTGTAACAAAATCAGTACGAAAGCTTAATGATGCAGATGAAGATATTTTTTTATTGAATTGTAAAAATAATAATTTGCAGCTTTGCTTGAAATAAAAAAAAACAGGCACACGTTTGCATATTCATATTTTGCATTGTTATAAATAATCTTAGTGGTAATGTGGGGCAATAAAACATATAACCACAACCCTTTGTCGGCATTTTATTGTTTTCCTTAAAAAGATAACGAAAACAATGAAAGGGCAAACTTTTTCAGAATATTTGCAAAATGACTAGCAAGCCATAATAGAGCAATACAGCGAGTTGTACAATGAACTCGCACGAACATCTTACACACGATCTTATTTTATATTTCGATAAAAATATCTTGAAAGTTTATATTAAATACAGACTTGGCTTTGACGTTTTTACCGACTTCAAAAAGGAGGAGATTATCAATTCAGATGTTTGTTTTTTATTATATGTTATATAAGACGGATTTGCAAAATTATTTTTTTGTTCAAAAGAGGTTTATTCCGAAATGGTGCCATTTAAATTTCATATACGTACAAAGTTTAGTTGTCTGTCTCCGAGGAGTTTCGGAGACAGACAACTAAACTTCTCAAAAAATGACAACAAATGAACCGCGATTGCTGCTAGGTTTTTAGTGTTCTTAGTTAGTATTGTTTGAAGACGGTTCAAATTTTTTTACGAAAGGATTTATCTTGTTCGTATTTATATTATATTTTAAAGAAACATTTAAAGAACACACTCTACACAACAGTTGTGTTTTCAGCACGCTCGTCTGGAACAAAACGGGTATTACGAGTATTAGCACTGCTGTACTTCTGTACAGTGTTTTATACGCACTGTCGACTATCCACAATACTCCAGTGCTGAAAACAAACTCTACGTAGGTACTCAGTCTAGGGTTATTTCTTATACATTATAGGCAATAGTGAATATAATATAAGATATAATAATACTATAATATATAATAAAGTATAGAGCTGATTTTAATTAATAAGAGTTAACAGGTCAGAGGGTTATGTAAAGATAGCTACTTCTGACACGGACAAAACGCTAGTTTATTTAGATTCCTTTATGTTAGAAACTAACCGTACTATTCGTTAACTGGTCACAATTGCTCTCAATTTGTCGTTGACGTTGCATGTTAGGGAAGCGTTGGTTTAATTAACTATGTAGGCACTGTGTTAATCAACTAAATCATTGGCAGATAGTCGAATAGTTTTGGCAAAATTTTAAAATCTATCTCTTTGCTGTGCTTTGTTTTCATGGAACCTCTTCTTTTAAGCCTCCCTCTTTTTTAACACTCAGAAATGTTTCGTTCAGTTTTAGTAGTTATTATTTAGCACAAGGCTAGATAATAGGCGCTACCTATTATCTGGCCTTGCTCTAGTTTACCTGATATATTCGGTTGCCGAATTAATCAGAAAATAGTTCTAATTTCAGATATTTTCTCCACTATGCCTAAAAAACGATCATAGCCTCATCTCTTTTGTCTTTTACCTGTTTGTTATTATTTATTGTACTAGTTTATTTATTGTACTGGTTTTACTGTTTTTGTTTGCCTTCTATTATTGATTCTATATAGTAAATCTGAATTCTATAACTTTGTTCCACTCGCCGGAATACTGTTCACATTGAAGAGAACAGAACTCTGACGTGTGCTTTTTAATATTAATACCTGATAATAAAGCTGATACATTAGTTATAAAAGTAACTCAACTACTATACGTTACGTAATATACTATACGTTTAATAAATTAAAATCTCCATAATCATAATAAAATAAATATTTTAAGGTATAGGAAGAGACAGCAATTAATAGACTTTATGCCGTGCTCACATTGCTGACTTTATAATTTAAAATAAAAAAAAATGCTGAAATATTTCAAAATGATACAATAAATATACCACCACTAGCCGCACATAAAGTAAATAAAGCTCCTCTTAATACACCTTATGCTACACAGTAGGTAAATTGGATGTAATAAAAGAACAAGGCTAAAGGAAAGTTATTTATAATATATTGAACAGTGTTACAAGGACGGTCAGAAAACTGACGACATGTAGACTGTTAAGTCTGCCCTTTTTGATATATGCAATTTAAAATGTAAATATATTCAATAAGTAACTTATTTGTATCGGTGATGACGGATTAAGAATACGGAATGTCACCAACCCTAATGATACCTTGTCGTCTAAGGGAGCAAACTACGCAGTAAAACAGCACTGCACAAAGAAAACTTGACACAAACCCTATAACAACCCGTATGGACAGCGTGGTATAGTAGGCCAAAACCTCCTTTCTAAGGGCAAGCCTGTGTCCACCAGTGGACCATTAAAGGCTGTTGATGTGATGATGATGATCTTATTTCATCAACAATTAGTGATTGCGAATTTTAAACATCCCCAAAAATTGTTTTACAAATCAAAAAAAGGATTTTAATCTCTCATCGTCCCTATCTTTTAACATTAAATAATAAGGTTGTTGTGTAATTTGCGAAACTGTTTTTATTCTATGCCCTTAATGTAATGTTAGCCCTTAATTTATCGCTAAAATTTGTATAAGGAAAAATATATTCAAATGTTGATATTAACTGTCTCCTTTCAGTTTGTTTCGCGGTTAATGGCGTATTTGATCTGATGTGCGCCAGCAGTCACGTAATAAAATCAATCATAGTGGTTACTATTTTAGCCTTTATCAATTATTTAAAAATATATTTTATTCTAATCGATGCTTCTGCTGAAGACATAAGTTTGTAATTTAAAGATTGGACGCTGGTGCCACAGCTTTAATGATTTGTTACACATTATGGCCACTTTACTTGTTCGAGGATGCTATGATTGCTGTAGCATAAAAGCTAAACAAGGCATCAATTTCAATATTTACAGTATGAGTCTATCCATCGGCCTTGTTCTTTGGCCTGTAGTTATTCGGAAATGATTACTGTAATAGGTTAAAACAACCTTAAAAGACTATTTTGTGTATTTCCGCAAAAAATAAGTTATATCGGTCGATGAACGGTTTCTATCTGTAATATCGTTGATCAGCATAGTGAAAATGTTAATTAATGTGAGTTAATGTGAAAATTTTGACAATGTTGTTTATTGCGTTGGCACCAAAAAGAGTACTTATAACGTTTTACAATAATTAAAGAAGTGTTAATGTGTAAATTAAAAGTAAATCGGTTGGTAGTAAAAAAGTATATATCTGTGATCATAGATCAGACAATGATAAGTGCATTTTTGCTCAATACGACTTATTAATAAAGGTATAATCGCCAAAAAATGCTCTTTCATTTGGTCACATCAGGATAACTACATGCAAAATATTACTGTTGTATTGAATACTAATCAGATTATGATAACTTTCATATTTCAACTTTTGTTTTGGTCATATTGCGTTAAGTGATTTTATTTAGATCTGACCGAAAGGACAATGCGCTTTTTATTGATCAGAATATGACAAAAGCACACTTATCAACTTATGATCAAAAATTACTTGGTTAGCGGGAAACATGTCATAACGTGTCGTGTCACTATTGTTTCGCGTACCGCACATTTCATAGTTTATTGTTAGTTTTTCGTTATTACGCCGCTAAAAGAACATTAAGATAGGTTATAATTACTGTTAAAATGATGAGTGCTCGCTGTAAGAAGTTGTTGGAGTTAGCTATGAGACAAGAAGATCCAGAGGTATGTTTATCATTATTTTGATTGTTATTTTATTCAAATCGCGTCAGTGTGCATTGCGAGAGTAAGTAGGCATTTTAGTGAGCAATATTGTAATAGTTGATATGACTGTTTGTGCCTAGTATATTATATAAAATACTGGCACCCGGGCCTAAGGTTGTTTTTTTTTCATTTTAGGATTTAGCTGTGAAACAATGTATGAGAGAACGTACTCCATTAGCTCAGAAGGATATCTTGCAATCTTTGCCCGGCCCGTCGGGTAGTCAAGTAGCTCAGCAGGATATTTTGTCATCTCTGCCCGGTCCGTCAGGTACTGCCATAGCTCAGCAAGATGTTTTGCAATCTCTTACCCGGCCCATCAGGTAATCGAGCTAATAGTTCTGATCGTACTTCTCTCGGTGAAGATTATAGTTCTGATGACGATGTGCAGGATTGTAATTGGTTACCTGCTGGTACACATGTAGAACACGTCTCATCATCGTCATCTAGCAAGACATCTACCCCTAGAAGCATTAGAAGCATTGCGGTCCCAGCATTGGTTTCTCAAACACACAGGATGACGTTAGAAGAAAAAGGAAGCGTGGTGTCGGTATGATGCAAAGAAAACTCCGTAAAGAAAGAACAGAAAAAATTAAAAAGGGGGAAGAATACATAAATCAAGCTGGGAAAAAAATATTGGGTAAATCTGTAGGTGTACTAAAAGAATGCAGATTAAAATGTAAAACAAAATTTACGAATACACAATTACAAAGAGTTTTTTGCAGATTATCGCGCTATGGAAACAAGAGATATGCAACGTTTACATTTGAGTAACCATATATTATTAACACCGCCAATTAGAGTTAAACAGGTTGAAATCAAAAAGAAAAGAGAAGTAGCTGTAGAGTACTTTATTGAAAATGAAGGTAATTTAGTAAAAGTTTGTCAAAACTGTTTTCTTAACGTGTATGGTGAGAATCGTGGTTTTGTGAATGGCATAATTGACAAGAAGAAAAAGTCAGCTACAGGTATCATTGGACGGGATGAAAGAGGCAGACATGAGCCAAAATTAAACATTCAAATGAAGCAATTGATTATGTACGTAATCATATTTCTAATTTCCCTGCATACGAAAGCCACTATTCAAGACGACACACTACGAAAAAATACCTGGAGACTGGGTTGAATTTACAAAAAATGTATAACTTATACCTTGACCAACATACCATGGACAACATAACTACAAAAATAGTCAGCCTTTCTACATATAGTAATATTTTTAAGACATTCAATTTAAAATTTAAAAAGCCACATAACGATACTTGCCATACTTGTGATACATTTGTAGCAAAAATAAAAATTACAATAAATGACTCTGAGAAAACGAGACTACATGACGAACATGTGTCTCATCAGGATAAAGCAAATTTCCATTACGAATGTAAATCTTTCGATAAACAACGTGCCAAGTTATCAGGAAATACTATCGTTGTCGCTGTGTGTGATTTACAGCAGTGTCTCGCTACACCTTACTTAAATACTAGTGTAGCATTTTATAAAAGGAAGCTATGGACTTTTAATTTCACAGTCAGAAATTGTAACACAGGGAAAACTACTTGCTTCATGTGGCATGAAGCTATCGCGCAACGTGGTGCTGACGAAATAGCATCTTGCCTAAAAATGTTTATAATGAGTTTGCCCGAAGAAACAGAACACGTTATTATTTATTCAGATACATGTCCCGGGCAAACCCGCAACAATACATTACCTGTTGTATATAACTACATACTTACGCAGAAAATTGGTTTGAAGACTATAGATCACAAATTTTTAGTTCCTGGTCACACACATTTAGAGTGTGATGCTGACCATGCCTCAATCGAGCGTGCCAAGAAGAAATATAATGGAAGAATTTCAATTCCAAATGACTGGTACATGCTTGTGAGAATGGTCAGCAGTAAGTTCACTGTGATAGAGTTGTCACAAGATGACATTTTTGCATTTTCTAAAGCAGTCGCTTATAAAGAAGACCAAAGATCAGAATAACGATCCTTTTCTATGGCGTAATATATTTTGGATACGTGTCGAGAAAGAACATCCTTGTTTCTTTTCTTTTAAATATTCACTGCGAGTGGAAGACGAGTTTAAAATATGTGACATGAAGAGAAAAGCCAGAGCCAGTCGAAATAATCAGCCTTTAATGGATATTCGTAAGGCGTACAATCGGCCATTATTAATAAGTAAAGAAAAACATAAGGATATTTTATCTTTATTACAGTACATTGATCCAGTGTACCATGATTTCTATAAGAATGTAATAAAGTCTGACAATGACGTAGTAGACACATCACATATTAGTGATTATAATTCCGATTCTGAATAGAAATTACTATTTTATTACGTCTATTTTCTTTTTTTTTCTTTTTGCTTCGAGTGCAATTTTATATGCCAAATATTCTGCATTATCATTTTAA